ATGTATTTAGAAAATGTAAAACATATGTAAAAAAATCTTCCTGATGTATACGAAAAAATGCATAACGTCTAGGAAAAAAGTAGACATAAAAAACATATACTTGCAAACAAAATCAGTGGTCAGTGGTCATACCCGTGGGGCCCTGTTTATTCGTCCAAAAAATTCAACACTCACTGTCATAGACAAATTACTTGTCAGGAGTCTTTCAAAAGGGATATGGAAATCAAAACTCCAAATGAAACTAAATGTATTCATGTGGTTTCTTTTAGCTGATAGACTGAACACAAGCAACATGCTCAAAAGAAGATATTTTCATGTTGGAGATATTGAATCATGCACCCTATGCACTACTCAAGAGGAGAGACAATTGATCACTTGATCTTTAATTGCCCTTTTAGCCAAACTTGCTGCCCTAAGATTGGTATCTCATACAACTCTGGCATCTCAAGGATTGAGGCCACAATCAGGGCAAATGAAATTTATTTTCATAGGGCTTTTCTTTGAAATATTCACCATTACTGCCTGGAATATTTGGAAGGAGAGAAATAACTTCATCGTCAATAAGATCAGTCCTTCATATAGAGCTTGGCTTGAGAGAACTATGGCTGATCTTACTCACTTAGATAGAGAGTGTCTCCTCATCTCAGTGATTATATCACTTCTTTGTAAATTCACTTTAGACTATGCTTGTTTGCTTTCTTTTTTGGGGACTTTCCTCCCAACCATGTAAATATCCATTATATATTAATGTAGCATAGTAGGAGCCGCTCCTACTATTTTCAGTCAAAACTATATATTAATAAATGTATTTGAAAAATATTAACCATGAATAGAAAAAAAATGTACAATGTGTATGAAAAAGAGGCATAAAAAATATATATATGCTAAAATGTCAATCATGTATTTAAGAAATTTAATACATGTGTAAAAAAGTATTTTTTATGTATATGAAAATGTACAATGTATATAAAAAAGTAGACATTAAAACCATATATTTGAAAAGATGTTATCACGCATTAAAAAATGCACGTACAAAAAATATATTCCAGATGTATATGAATTTATTTTTGTACTTAAAAATAATAGATTTAAAAAAATGTTCCTGTTCTATCCGAATATATAAAAGATAAAAAAGAAAGAAATCATATATTTGAAAACGATAAATATGTATAAAAATAATGTTTTTGATTTTTATATACAATGTGGATGGAAAACAGTAGACATCAAACATGTCTTTGATATTTTTTTATTAATCATGTATTTATAAAAATATTAAGTGTGTACTCCCTCAGTTCCTTAATATAAGTCTTTTTCGAGATTCCAATATGAACTACATATGGAGCAAAATGAATGAATCTAACTCTAAACTATGTTTATATTCATCTGTATGTAGTTCATATTGAAATCTCTTTAAAGACTTATATTTAGGAACTGAGGGAGTATAAAATAATATTTCAGATATATACAACTAATGTACAGTGTGCATGAAAAAGAATAGACATCAAAATATGTATTTGAAAAAAAAGTTAATCATGTATTTGAATTTTTTAAATGTGTATAATATTTTTAGATGTATACAAAAAAATTATATTGTGTATGAAAGAGTAGACAACAAAGCATGTATTTGAGAAAATGTATAATGTGTATGAAAAGTGTTACATGTGTATAGAAAAATGTTCTGATTATACCAAAGATATACAACGTGTATGAAAAAAAGAAGAAATCAAAAAAATATATGAAAAAAATCATGTATTTAAAAACTATTAAACATATGCAAAATATGTTCACGATGTATAAGAAAAATGTACACCGTGTATGAAAAAAGTAGACATAAAAAATATATAGTTGTAAAAATATATCAATCATGTATTAAAAATATATTAACCATGTATAAAGACAAAAAAAGTACAATGTGTATTTAGGAATGTAAAACATGTGTAAAAAAGTGTTCTTTATTTATACAAAAATGTACTATTTATATAAAAAAGTACACATGGTTTAGATGTGTAGAATACCATATATTTTAAAAAAATGTTATCACCTATTTAAAAAGGCCCAAGATGTACTAAAAATGGTTTAGATGTATATGATTTTTTTATGTATTTAAAAAATATTAAACATAAAAAATGTTCTTGTTTTATACAAACAGATAACAAAAAAAGAACTGACAAATAAATAAAGAAAAGGAAAAACAAAAGAAAACCAATGCAAAAGAATGAAAACAGTGAAAACCAAAATAATAACAAAGAAAACTGATGAAAAACAAAAGGGAACAAATATGAATGAAGAAAAAAGGAAGGAAAAAACAAAAGAAAATAGTAATGAAAACAAAGAAAAAGAATGAGTGAAAAACCCGACAAAAGCCGGACCAGTCCAAACAGACCGAAGATAAAAACCGACTTTGAGGTCCATCTCCCTCCCCTCCTCCCTCCCCTGCTCCTGGGTGAACATCCGGAACCTTTTGGTTGGGCGGTGATGGTGCTTCTGCACCTCCTTCTTTAAGGCGTGGTTTTGGGTTTGTGGGGAGGAGGGTGGTCTGCAGCAAACCTTTGGTGTTCCTATTGGCGGCGGCTCCTTTCGTCCAGCGGCGACTCCCCGTTGTGGAGGTTCGATGCCCTCCTCAAGCCGCTTTACTCCCTCCTCTGCGCGGTCCGGTTGTCCGGTGGGTCAATGCCCTCGGCTTGCGCGAGAGGGGATAGTGGTCCCCTCTATGGCGATCAGGTCGCGTTGTTGGAGGTGTGTCACTGGTCTTGGCGTGGCTCGGCCCTCCTGGTGGCTTTGTTGCCCATTGCTCGCCGTGTCTTCATGAAGTGCTCTGTTCCTCTGGCTAGAGTCTGCGGCTTGCTCCTCGTGTGCGAGATGCAATTTGTGGCTTGGGGTGTGCTCGAGTGGTTGCCCTGTTTTCAGGTGGTCTTGCTGGCTCTGGCGAGAGCAGCTCCACTTTGCCTTCGGTGTGTCGATGGCGAGCTTCTTCCCTTGGTGCAATCCCTTCTAGCCCCTGTTTGGTCCCCAAGTTGTATTCTTTTCTTCTTTGGTCATAGATCTTAGCCTCCACAACGCCTTGTATCTCCTGCCTTGGGGTTGCATCGTTGTTATTTCTTCAATGGTTGCATTCCCGTTTTCCTTTTATTTCTTCAATTGTATGTTGTGCTCTTGTGATCCTGGCCGGTTGATGGCTTTGTTAATTCAAAGTCGGGTGAAGATCGAGCCCGAATGGCTCGTTTCGATCCTTTCATCTAAAAGGGATAAAAATCAATGAAACTTACACGGCTAGCTAGTGAAAAACTCACATGGCGTGCTAGTGAGCCCGAAAAGACCAATGAAAAACTTACACGGCGTGCCAGTGAACCGAAAAAATAGTAAACCTTGCCGACCCAGTAGCTACACTAGAAAAAATAATCCTTCAGGCGAGACCTCCTTTGATCTCGCTATAAGCGAGATATAGCTCTCGCGTTCATCGTGTGGTATATTGAGGTTATCCTCCTTTTCAAAATAAATAAATAAATCATGTGGCATATTACTCACCTCTCTAGTCTCGACCTATGCTCGGCCTTCAGTCATGCGTACTACTTGCAGAGCACTGATTGCTTATTTCCTCGAGGCAACTGTTGCCTGGTGCTTGCTTACAGTATTGATCTCTGGTGGCCTTGTCAGTTGGCACGGCTAGAAAGGGAACACCACATGACAGCCCCTAAAAGGACCTCTCGATAATAACAGTAGAAAAATAAAATCGAACTCCCCAACCCTGATAAGCAGTGAGGACCATCTTTTCTTGGCGCAACAGCTCCTTCTAACCTTTTGCGAGGTACCATGTCAGGATCCCACCTCCACAGAACCACTGATCCCCGATCCTACCAAGGCAAACAATCAACCTAAATTAAGCACGCTTTGCATATTCTAGAGGGGCCAGCCGCGTAGGCCGCCACCACCGTCTCGCGATCCCGTGTGACCTCAAGCAATCCCGAAAGACCCACCCTAACCATGCTTAATTCAGAAATAAAGCTAGCCGCAAAACCGCAGGATCTGCTCTCTCTTTCTCCCGACGCGACATGGTGCGCGCGGATCCTTCAGGTGGACGGACGGACGGACGACCATCGCCTGAAAGGCGCCCGCACGGGCGCAGCCACGGCTCCACGAGGCGCCGTGGAGCTCACGGGGATTTTATAAAGGGATCGCGTGGATAACGAGCTCCTCTGGCCTCTGCTACGGGGAGAGCGTCGGTGGGCCGTTGGTGTGTAGTGTACGTAGTTTGGTCCATGGCTTGTCTGGTTAACTGATGCCGTGCACTGTAAGAATCACCCTGTGCGTGGATGCATTAATTTACACGCCTGCGTGCGTGGGCTGGTCTAACCGAGCATCATGCATTTGCGAAGAAAAGGAAGAGCTTCAGGTAGAAGCGTCCCTAGCTTATTAGCGACTAGTGTGATCAATCTAGTCAAGTACTCCCTCGATAAAGAAATATAAGAGCGTTTAGATCGAGTAGAAGAAAAGGCGCAGGGCGTGGTGAAAAACCTTTCCTCGACTACAGGAGACACGGACACGGCAGTTCTCTTACCAGTAACCAGTGTCGGGAGCGCGAGCGTGCGACGGAAGGCGGGTCGCACTCACACGTACGCGCGCGCGGGGGGCAGAATAGATCCGGGAAAACGACCACGCACCGTACGGAGATCACCGCCGCGCGCACGATTGACTGATTGATTGTGCCGCAAGGGAGTCTGGTGTGGCAGGAGAGGCAGACAGAGCGCTCACTCCAGTCATGTGGCTGCCAAGGACGAAGGAAGAACAGTGTGCGTATGCGAGGCTTTACCCAAGTGTAAAGCAAGCCGAGCGAGCGAACGAAGCCTCTGGTCGCTTTACCGCCGGTCCGTCCGACTCATGCACACATTACACGCGCACCACCATAACCACCACACCAGCAGCTCCGCGCCACCAGCCATTGCTCAGGAGGGGCGGTATAAAGGGCGGGGAGCAGAGGACGGCCCACGGCGCGTCCGCTCAGCATGGGGTGGCTCCGCTCCCTCGTCTCCCCGCTCAGGAAGCTCTGGTGCAACATCAACACCGTGCCGAGGAAGAGTATGTCCTCCTGTATTCGTGTTTACATGCATAAATACAGCCTTTGTCTCTGTTCTTCTCTCCGGTTTCTGATCGTCTGCTTGTTTGTTTGGTTTGCAGAGAGAGGGATCTACATCCTGTACGACGACGTCAAGTCGTGCCAGTGCGAGGACGTGCACGTGCTCTGGTCCATCCTCGTCGAGTCCCACGGCCTCCCGCCGCCCACACCGCCGGTGCTCCGGCTCACGCGGTGACCGGAACGCGCCGGACGGCGGATCGCTGGCATCGGCGCGGCGCCCCCCGGAATAAGGAACGGCCGGCGCGGTGCCGCCGTGGCTGGCTCCATGGGAGGTGAACCAGTAATAGTATAGTAGTAGTAGCATATGATTTCTGATGTAAAGAGCACATAGGAGCAGTTGTTTACAGTTCATCTGGCCTTCGTCCGGCGCCTCTTTTGGAGCTGCTGCTGGGACGGGAGAGCGAGGCTGCTGCGTTTGCGGCTTCTGGACGCGTGTGGTGATGGGCTTTCTTCGAGCGCACCCCTCTTTTGAGTTTTTGATTGATTCACGCGTCGTTTTCTGTCGAGACTGCACTTGGATGCAGCCCTTTAATTCATCCCCATTACCAGGGACAAAAAAAGAAAGGGATCTTCAGCAATTATTTCATTGCCATTTCTGTGTTGTTTCCACTGATGTTTGCTTTGCGGACATGCAAGTGGGTGCTTCTGGTTTGCCTTCGCCGGAGCCGGCGGAGCGTACACTGTTCAAATAACCGATCGTAGTATCAAGTGTCTGCGCTCTGCGGTGCATCATTTGTTGCTCTGTTCTTCTCCTCTTCCAATAACTGGAGTTATGATCAGTTTTTTTTTTCAGAGAGAGAAATCTGTCTTCTTTCTGGTTGGGGTCCTGCGGATGACTTGTGAGACCTCCTAGCCAGGAAAGCGACTTTTTGTTGGACGGGGGCATTGGCTCCCGTTTTCTGAAATGATTCAAAAAATCATATTTCCAAATTTCAAAAAATTCGAAAAAATGTGAAAAATTGTACATATAAACGATGGATCTGTGAATTTTAGTTCAAAAATATTATGGTTTGCAAGCTGCACACACAAAAAAAGCTGCACACAAAAAAAAAATCCTGGTCCAACAACGAAAAAAAGATTGGCCCATTTTCACGTATATATTTGTTTTCATTGTCTACGCCACTTATGAAAGTATATTGTCATGAAAATTTTCTTCAACGTGTCATATGTGTATTTGTGTATGTAAAAAAAATTCGATTTTCTTTTGCATTGTAGAAAAATGTTCTTTTAGGTCCACATAGTGCCCGTCCACCATTGGGCATTTCCACCTAGCCAACCCTTAACCCCGAAAAAAACACCCTAGCCAACCCTTATAGCGCCACGTCGCGTTATAGCGCTCACGCGAGTGTTGTATGGGCAGGCCCAATAATTCTTCACCCGCTAGCTCTCGACTCGGTCATTAAGTTCCTCGGTAGCATTTCCTA